TTTAAAATGAATGGTTGGTGGTAGGACAGTGACCCTGAATGCTTTCATATTTATACTTCAAAGAACAGATCACCAATTTAGAAAACTGTCTCACTTGCTTTCTTTTCCACTTGCATGAAAAAAACCAATGTTGTTCTTATCTCTGTGTTTTCTTTACACAACAAGGAGTGAAGCTTGTTTGGCTTCGTTTAGCACAAAGAACAAACAGAGAAAAGCTCTGCACAAAGTGAACAAACTGCTCAGCAGCTGCTACAGTCACCAACCTTCTCGTCGAACTCCTCTTTCTTTGCGTCGCTCTTCAGCCCTTCTTTCCCGATCTTTGAGCTCGCGTTGCTCTTTCTGCTGTTCGCGCAGCTTTCGGTCCCGTTCGCGCTGGCGCTCCAGCTGCTCCAGCCGGTCCCTGTGGTCCAAAAAAAACCCAGGAAAGTCCACTCGAGGTCTGTTCAGATAACCGAAAGGTCAATCTTGTCACTGTTATCTTTAGTTGGTGAAAACAGATTTGTGTTTCAGTGTCAACATGAGGCTGCATCATTCAATTTCATGAGTAAACAAGCAGAGAAAACAAACTACAAACATTGTCATCTGGACTTCAATGAGAAAAGTGAGAATCATTTTTTAACAGTCTGTTTTGAGTAACTCCATGAAAAATACTTTAAATGTACTTCTACTTAAAGGCTTTTGTCATCTTAGGAGATTTACTCAGTAGCATAGAAACAAGGTACACTTAATGTCAAGTTACTGTCACACACTGCATTAAATAAAAAAACAAACATCAGTCTTTAACTCAAGGCCGTTAGAAGATGATTTGTTGCTGGTGCTGACCTCTCTCTGCGTGAATGAGCTCTGGCCTGCTCTCGTCGTTTCTGCCTCTCCCAGTCTCGCCGGGCTTTGTCTTCTTCCCACTGACGCTTCCTGCGATCGCTCTCTCGCTCTTTTTCTTTCTCTTTGGGTCGTACGTGTTTCCCTGCTGCATATGTAAAAAAGGTGAGTGGAATCAAATCATTCCCAAACATGTTGCATTCAACTGTAAAACATTTTTGTAATTAGGTGGGACTCCCGCACCTCCTTCAGCAGAGTGACTGCGATGCCGTCTTTTATCTTTTCTCTTCTCTTCCTTTCTGTGGTGAGATTTGTCCTTCCTCGCAATTTGCTGCGGAGGCTTGATTGCTAGTGATTCATCTTCCTCTCCTCTGGTATAAATATAACAAAAACATTGTGAGCCAGCAAAAACATTACATAGACACCTGCTTCAGTCCATTGAATCATCAGCGCCTACATTTATATTTGTCACCTACAGTTCCAAGTACCTGTCCTCTGTTGAGTCTTCCCGCGTGTACGGGGAATTACGAATTGTTATTTCCATCCTTTGATCCCGTAGTTCTCCTTCCTCCGGAGTGTCTCGTTTGGCTTCCCGATCATCCGCCTGTGGAACAAGGCCTTGTGTGAACTGCACAGGACACAAAGAGCAGAATTCGCGGTTAAAGAAAGACAGAAACGATCCCTCGTTTCATTTCTACCACTGTGCCGGTATGCATGTGTAATACTGCTCTTAGATTAGCTTTGAGAAACTTTACATTTTTCTGACGCTTAAGATCTGTTTTCTCCTCTAACTCTCGTCTGCGTTTTTTCTCTAGTAGGATTTCGTCAAGAGTTTTTACTTTCCAGGTCTCCTTTTCGTCCCCCATCAGCGTCCACTCTCCACCACCTGTTTCACATCAGAAACACACACACACACACACACACACACAACACTGAGGGTTCATGACAGTTCAGCTCAGAGCATATGAATCACAAACACTTAATAGATCCGTGAAAGGAAGGAGCCCACCACCTGTTAGTCGACGGCTCAGTTTGATGCACGTTTTACTTTCACGTACGCTGTCCAAACACAGCATACATGAGAAGTGACACCCCTGTGCAAGACCACGTAAACGTCAGATGAGTTAAAATGACTCACCTCTGGACAACGGCTTTGTTTCTAAGGTAAGAAGTAAAATATTTGATTCTAATAAAAAAAAGAATGCTTTAGCAAGACTACACTAAAACTAAACTTGTTACTGTGATGAGTAGAACTTGAGTACACCTGTAATTTCAAATTAGTTTAACAGCATGAACATGGCTCTAAAATGCACCGTGCATGCTGGAACTGCCACAATTTTTGTGACCCATGGACTGCATATGTCTGCATCATGGCTCCAACATGGAAAAAGGACTGCCAGAGGAGCTGCAAAATCTGATTATGACATTTTACAATGATGGCGAAGACCAGCGACAAACTAAAATCAGCTGCAGCAGAGGTTAGATCAAAAACACTGGCGGACAAGATGACTCCTAGTCTGCAGAACCTTTGCGAAAGAGGAATGTTCCAGTGCGGTAATGATCCAAAACACACTGCCAAAGTCAAACAAGAGTCTGTAATGAAGAAACAAAAAGTGCAAACTATGACCCGACCGAGTCTGTTGCCTGAATTAAGTCCAACAGAACACTTGTGGGGTATTTTCCAGAGCACACTGACAGAACCTCTCTCCAGATATGTGGTGTCCATGCTGAGGAGAAATGAGCATCAAAAATAAAGGTGGGCACTTGAAATAGTTAAACAAAAAAGGATTTGAATTTAATTTAATTGGTGATTGTAAATTGTCCGTAGGTGTGAATGTGAGTGTGCTTGGTTGTCTGTCTCTAAGTGTAGCCCTGTGATAGACTGGTTACCTGTCCAGGTGAACCTGCCTTCACCCTGAGTCAGCTGGGATAGACTCCAGCCCCCCATGACCCTAGTGAGGATGAAGCGGTGTATCGATAATGGATGGATATTAAATTTTGATGCCCTGTGAAATGTTGTTCTTTCATATCCATCTACCCATTATCTCTACACCACTTAATCCTCACTAGGGCTGCGGGAGGCTGGAGCTCATCCCAGCTGACTCAGGGCTGTTGTTTCATATCTACTACAAACTGACATAAGACTTTTGAAAATGTGGAGAATTCGCCAGTTAAACGACGTACATTATATCTGCGTATTTCAATAAGATGATGGCTTTGACAACTCTCTTTTTCCATCAGTACTTTCCAACCACAGCGCAACGTGGGTGTGTGTTGCTCAGTGTCATGTTTTCCACAAAGGTCCCAGCTCACTAAAAACAACAGACACAGTTCCTATATACTAAATGGCGTTTAGCATGAGGCAGTTATTTAGCCTCGAGTTTACACTGGAGGCATCACTTACGACTCATGCTGCTCCTGTAAGAGACTGCCACAGGTTGTCAATGGATTTTTATGTACATTGACAATAAAGACATCTTTAAACTTTAACGGCTGCCTTACAATAGCTTCAACATACAGCTAAGCTAGGCCAGTTAGGCAGATACGCCGCTAAATTTAGAGTTTCTGATAAAAACTTGGGGACAATTTGTGAGGCGGCGATAGCATATAACAGCACACTGAGCAAAATAGTAGAAAGTTACCTACTTCTAACCACGAGCGTGTAACGAGTCAAGCGGTCGATGCTAACACATTAGCATGCTAACGTCAGCTAACAGCTAATAGCTAGCGACTGTCGCTAAACATCTTCTGCAGCGAACCGCGTGATTCTGAAAGCGACAGGGAACCCGGCCGTTAGAGTTATAAAGAAACCAGCGTATAGCAGCGTCCGCAAATTGAATTAAATGGCCACATACAGGGGGAAAAAAGACTTTTTTTTCACACAGCAGATAAAACCGTCACACTGACCTGAAAGATGCGCAGCACACCGGAAACGCGTCGGAAACGTTTGAAGAGCTTCCGGTGTACAAAAAAACAAAAAAACAAAAAAACAAAACAGACTTCCTGTAAATAATAGAATGTAATGTAATGTGTTATAAATTAACCCTCAAATGTTTACTGCTACTGTTATTAATAATATTACAATCATCTACATTGTCTTTTATTCTGAAATTTCATAATTACAGCAGTTTGGGTCACACTGGCGCAAGTTTTAAGTTTTCCTTTGGCACTGGTACATGAGATAATATACACAGTTTAACAATAACATGGCATGTGTCGCCAAAAAGATGTTCTAATATCAAATATTCAAATCAAGTGAAAGCATTATTTAAGTAAAATTGAGTCTTTGCTATCTTGAAACACATGTAATTGGTCTTGGCAGACAGAAACCAAATGGAATACCAAAGTTTGCTCTGCATGGACTGTAGGTTAGCGGTCAGGACTGCAATAAAACAAGCGTCAGCCTGAGATTGCTGAATTTCCTCACATCCACAAACACAAGAGGGTGCTGTGAGAGCTGAGTGTTTATCCTCTACTGTACAGTCAAAGAAAAACAATAAAAGTGATGTTGTGTTTAATTAACCAGCTTTTCATGCACACCTGAGTCTCATGAACATCTTCAACTTATTGTTTTTTTTGGCGTTGCATTCCACTATCTGCACAGGATGTGATAACAATCTCGAGCTGGACTTTATCACTGAGAAAGAGTCGTATAATGAGGAGAAAGACAAGAGCTGGATGACAGCCAGTGGATTTATGACAGGCTGACCTCAGTGAACACATGAACTATGGTCGAGGTTTAACTGAGCAGGAGGCATGGCTCTCTGTGTCAGGATTTAAAAGCACCGGAGGGCAGAGTTGTGAGCAGGTTGGAGACTGTTTCAGACATCACAGGTGAGCACAGCTTTTATATTTATGTAAACATATGAACAGAATTCTGTTTTAGGGGCTCATAGCAGGACTGTAGTGCATTACAACCTGATCAGTACAGCCATTAGAGGGCAACAAGGATTCAAACAACAGTGATTTACCTTTAATTCTCAATATAACAACCCAAAATGACAGCATATTAAAGTAGCTGTTTTGTGTTTAGCTGTTGTCTACATGCCTTATGGACACATGCTTTATGGACACTTGCTGTACATATTTTCATACAAACTCTTCACCGTCACTGTGTCACAGCACACAGCAGTGAAGCAGCGACTGATCCCTGAATCCAGCACATAAACAACATCTACACCATGGAACCCAACGGCACAGGCAGCGTACAATATGATCGCTGGAACGAGGACAACATCAACATGAACGTGGAGGCTTCACAGTCCACCACGACGAGGTGAGATGAAATGACGTCTTCCATAAAGATGCATCAATCATGTAGTTTGTGTATTATTGGTTTTCCCTGCTGCTGCAGAGGAGTAAACCCAGAGAGCTGTAGGAAGATATGAAAGAGGAAAATCCATGTGTGGACTTAAGCAAAATATTGATGAGGTCAAAAAAGGTTGTTATTGCCTTCATCCAAAACAGCAGTTGAATTCTACATAAGACCATCATAGTCTAACTAAAGAGCTCATGTGGTGAATACAGTCAAGACTCTGCCTCACTTTCTCTCACATCTACAGGATCCGCAACACAATGTGTACTGGCCCCACTGGAATAGCAGTGAAGGTTGTCGGAGCCTTAGTCGCGACGGTGCTCGTTTTCATCATAGGATATGTGGCAGGATACTACGTCCATCGGTGCTGATGGTGGAGCCCAGTCAGGAAGAAGAAGAAGAAGAGCTTGGACATTTTGAAAGAACCAAAAGTTTCAAAATATCATTCTGATTTTCTTTTCATGAAGAAGGGAATTAAATCCAATTATATTTAAGAAACGTTTTTATTCTTACAGAGAATATACACATCTATGACTCATGTGGAACTTCACTGTTTTTATTTATGTTTTTAATTAACCTGAAGTGAAAAATCTTGAGCATGGAAATGGAAGTTGGGTAGAAGTTCTGATGAAGCGATAGTTTTAAAAAATCTGCAGTGTTGCAATCCTTCAACTGAATTTAGAAGAGCAATAGCATCATATTATTTCTAACCAAACACAAGAAAGATGTCTGATATTTGAATTCTGCCCGGGTAGTACAACGTGATATGTGGAAGAAAGAGTTAATATAGTGACATCACTTTCTAAACTCTGAACAACTGCTTTGTCCACAAATTTAATTCTATTTATTGGACAGCAATCTGTTTTCCCACATTATGTAACCAGCATGTCTATGTTTGAATGTCTGTCATGCACTCTGCAGAGTTTGCAGCAGCTCAGAAGTGAAGGAATAAGTGAGTTTTATATGTCTGTGAGGAAAAGTACAAACGTCTGTCAATAAATAATCAAAAGAAATGTTGAAATGGATTCAGAATAAAACTACGAAGCACTGAGTAAAATGTAAAATGTACTGACTGAAAGCAGGAATAAAGTTTATTAAGACTCATTCTGGAGTTCAAGGTTTTTATTTCATTTTCCATCATGTTGGTGTGAATTTGTTGAAAATGCTTAATATGAATTAATGTCAAGAGACTGAATACGAGTTGATGGTTGAGATGGACCGAGTGTTTTTTGACAGGTAGAGGCCTGACTGCTGATGCTTTCTGACTTCTCCTCCTGACGCCCTGCATTTTACATAAATCTACCAGCTGATTTCAAACATCTCTGAAATACTAACACTTAAGAGTGTCTGATCCATGACAGACATTTTAACACTGACCACATGTACACTGGTGAGAGCAGGACATTATTGGTGAATAGATTCCAGTTTTACGTGTCCTTCTCTGAATCTACTCATTTAAGAAAAGCTCTGATTTTAAAATAAAAGAGGGTGCAGTGATTGTGGTGTTTGTGATGAATAAATAAAGATTTTAAAGGCTCACATTTCCCCAAAGAACACTGGTGGATGAAAATGACGGCAAAAAAATGCAAATATTAATGCATTTAATAATTAAAAACACCAGAAGTAAATCAGTCAAATGTTTTTATTTGGAAAATAAATATCCTTACAGTACTAATTCTAAAAAACTTGTAATCCGTAAAACATCATTACATACAGTTTGTCCACAGGAAGAAGCACTGCCACATACTAGAGATGTCCAACGACCAGGAACACATTTGCAGTGTATAAAATAAACACGATGCAACTTGAAAACAGATAAAATCACAACAAAAAACTCCTTCAGAGGTAGTTCAGGTTAACTTTGTTACCCTCTGATTTCATGTTCCCCTGAGTAGTCACCCCGCTTCACCCTCCCAGCCCCGTCACTTCCTGTTGACCTCAGTTTAACTTTTTGTACATATTTGTGAACAAATTATTGTTGAATTTAAAGTTATCGTGTGCTGTGCTTTGCTGCCTTGCACTTGAGCCTCTAACCGACCCGTAACAGATTCCAAACGTCTTTGAGCTGGTAGATGTAAACTATGATGCACACCAGCTATTTCAGAGGCCAGCAGACGTGTAGGAACTCTGGTCATCGATCTAATCTGTGCAGGACAATCAGCTGAGCACGCACACACTTATGTTACAGCTGTTTCTATAGAACACCCTAAAACACAAATATATCCGGCCACAGTGAGAGCACGACGTGCACATCAGGTAGTTCACTGAGTTTTGTTTGGTTTTTTTCCCCCTCAGGTCAGCTCCAGCACGTCCGGTTCAAATCACCCTGACAGCATTCGAAAGCCTATCTTATCTGGGAACGCAACTACGAGGAGGAAGCTAATATAACTCCGGTAGCAATAAAACAACATTTGTGTGTAACATGTGATACAAAAACAAAGCATGTTATGTTGGGTCATTTTTATTTAATACAATATTGTGTACAACATCTATATTTAATCATTTTAATCTTTAATAATTTCCCAGGTCTGGGATAAATAAAGTATATTCTATTCTATTCTATTCTATTCTATTCTATTTAAGAACCTTGTATGATGTTAGAGCAGGTCTGCTTTTCTTTTATTCAATCAAAACAACACATTCAACACTGACTGTCTGGGATCAGATTAAGACCAAACTGTGTGCGCACACATATCAGTCATGGGTAGCAGTTGAATTATTGTTATTATTACTACATTTGGTTTCAATTTTTCTTGTATGTTGCTGATGAAAACATCCTTCCCTCAGAGAGCAGTCTGAATCCTGTGCTGCCTTATTAGTTTGTAATGTGCACCGCTTTGTGTGTTTTTTTAAATGCCAGGATTTGCATCATGTAATTCATGATTTATGTCATCCTTTACGATTTATTAGTGTTATTATATTCATGTTACTATTACTAAACTGAACTGAATTCATCTGACCTCAGCAGACACGCCACTCATACGACAGCCTACAGTACTGTGTTCTACCCTGAGACTGAACACCAGCTGTGGTTCAACAGACTCTGGCTTGTGTGTCCACGCAAAACAGAAATAGACTCATCACAAAAGGGTTTTCAAGCCTTTCCCCCTTTTAGCCAACAGTCCCAGTTAAAATCCTTGTAACTCAGGCACAAATATCAATTTCCAACATTTTTTTTTAAACCTGAGATTGGAACTTATAAAGGACTCGTCCCTCCTGAGACCATAAATCCACACTGAATATTAAAAATATACAGGTTGTGTATAGGGGCGTCTGAGGCTAAAAAAAAACTTCTATTTTTATCAGGCTCTACACAAGTACACAGAAATCCAATTTTTGCAGATGTTAACACACATGCATACAAAACATCCCCTCACATTTAGATATAAGCTTTGGCTGAGAAATGTTCAGCGGTTTATTTAAATAGCACTTTGTAAGATCAACAATTACAAAGTGCTATAACAGAACCACATGTAGCAGCAGTGGTGTGGCAGGTGTGGTCATCCGAGGTTTTACTATCTTACCTTCCTGTGAGCTGTGCCAACAAACTTGATGTATTGATAAACACTCAGTGGGGACGTGGAATACAAGCTCAATTTAAAGAAAAATCTGGGGAACAAACTAACAGTCCAGTTATGTTTTATATGACTTCAGTGCAGTCAGTTACAATGTTTGATCTTCTCCCCCCATCACGCAGCAAATGTGGCCTAATTATTAATAAATATATATTTAAGGTGTTTTGAGACTTTATGGGTCAAAGTTGTCTCCACACAAGTCCGCAGATAGAGAACACAGCACACAAAGTCAAAGTTTGATCATTTACTCAGATGTAAATACAAATCAAGGCAATTAAACCATTTATATTTAGAAATAATCTATTTAGATTACACTGGTATTTGCACAAATCATGTATATTTGCATTTGCACTGTTTTATTATTATTATTATTATTATTGTTGTTGTTATTATTATCTGAAGCACAAGGAGTCTGACTGATGGTACAACAGCGACGCCTACAGGAGATGGCAGAGAACTGCGCTACCCACATTTAGAGCCTTTTTTCAAGACAGCGCCACCTACTGCAATCAATAATCACTAAAGTGCACGACTTGGATTTCAAAGGATGATTTCACTCGTAAACATTGACGGCACTGTAACTTGAAAACAGTTAAAGATCGACCCGCTGCATTGGAAACCATAAATAGACCTCCCACTGGGGATGTGACATTTGACCTTAGGTGATATTTCAAGGCCCTGTTTAGGCTTCAGAGCGGATTCCCTTGGAGTCTGTCGGGGGGTTCTGTAGCATAGTGGTTGGAGCAGTTGTCTTGGGAGCACCTCCACGGCTGCAAGTGGGCTCACCGGGCCTTCTGAGTGCATAAACACCCACCACAAGTACCACCTAAAGACCAGGAGGGAGTTCAGTCAGTTCTGGTGAAGCAGTTGGAGGGACGGAGCCATGGTGAGGGTTTCAGCGGTTTGAGCTGCAGAAGCTGTGATGGTAACGTCATTAGGGTTTGAATTAGTTTGTGTAATCAGCCAGTCGCCGCTCCCCAGAGGTCCCATCGAACCCGCCCTGTCCCCTCACCTGTTCCCGAGGGGGTCAACGCTGCCGAGCATCAGCTGTTCATGTTGTGTTCAATGTGCTGTTTGTTGGGATTCCCACTTGGAATGGGGAAAAGAAAGAAACTTCACACAAACAGAGGAAGCCTGAGGAAAACGAGAATGAGTAACCTAAGCAAGACGAACAAAACGGGATGACTCAAGGGACGGAGAACTCAACTGAAGGGTTGGGCAGGCTCAGGGGGAGGCTGGTAAAACACTGGAGCGGGGCTGGCAGCAGGTCCAGGCCAACTGCAGGCTGGGTCAGGGCGGTCCAACGGCAGTGGATTGGGGAAGGCGGGCAGGAGACGGGGAAGAGGGTTTCCATGTCTGTGGTGTGGTGGAGACGGAGGAATGGACAAGGCCTTATGGCATAAGGTGACTGAATGCAGGTGAGCTGATCCCTGCAGCTGTCTCCCTGCAACTATCCAGCTCACTGCATGGAGGAGATCGGTCCCGTTGAGATACAAGAGAAGCCTGGCCAAGATAGCAGCCTGAGAGACATTAAAGTTCCATCCATCATCTCTACGCCTTAATCCTCACTAGGGTCATGGGGGGCTGGAGTCTATCCCAGCTGACTCAGGGTGAAGGCAGGTTCACCTGGACAGGTAACCAGTCTATCACAGGGCTACACTTAGAGAGACTCCACGCATCCCGGGATGCGAACCGGCGACCTTCTAGCTGCGAGGCAATGATGCTAACCACCGAGCTACCTTGCAGCCCCCATTCAAACTGGTGTCCCCAAATTGTTCCTCATTTGAAGCGTAAACAATTGAAGGATTCAAGGATTCAAGGCCTTTATTGGTCCCAAACACAGTTATACCTGGTATAACGCGCAGTGAGATGCTTTGTGCACCTGTTCCACATCGAAACAATATTAAAAAGATGAATAAGAATAAAGAATACAACACACAAGAAATAAATATATATGAGTATATGTATATATATATAAAGAGAGAGAGAGTGAGAGAGAGAAAGGGATTAAAAAAATAAGCAAAAAATGATTAAATCAAATTTTAAAACAGTGCAAAAGGAGATAAAATAAATAAAGAAATTAATAATAATATATACATGTATATGTACAAGGTGGGAAGTGACCTGTTGGGTTGTTTATTGAACACTGGTGAATGGATCGTTCATGTACAGGGAGGATGAAGTCAGTGGAGATCTTGTTTGTTTTGTGTTTCATGTCGGTAACATCTGGGGCCAGACCTTCACTTCAGAACCCATCTCTATCCATGGATCAGGCTGGATTCGGATGGTTGGTCTGCAGTGACTTTACTGGACTAACTGCTAAGTGATTGGGACTTAGAACAGATTAATTACATAGCGGGCTCGCAGGCTGTGGCCCATCGAGCTCCGCGGAGGGGCTCCGGGGAAATCCGTCAGCGTGACGTCAGAGGCTGCAGACAGCCGAGGGGCGGACCTGCAGGAGCTCCGGGCATCAAATCCACAGCGTGTCTGAGCAAAATGAAACATGGATGAGGAGGTCGCTGAAAGTTGGGAGGACGCTGCCGATAGTGGGGTAAATAGCCAAACACTCCGTGTAGCTTCAGTTGAGGACGGATATGTTTTCGGGTGACTCTTTCTGTGAACGGGGCCGCTTTTAGAAGTTCTCGGAAGGCTGCTCCATGTCAACGACTGTTCCTCGTGCCAACAATGTAGCTAAAGCTAACGTTAGCTTCAAGAAACTTGGTGAGCTACCGTCAAGTAGCGTTAGCTAGCGAGCGAGTTGAGCTTAACGCGGACGTGAGCAGCCGACTGACGATGGCTGTTGTGAAATCACTTCGCGTTACAAAACGTTAACATGCTAGATGTTTAGCTAGCGGTAGCCAGCTAACAAATATGGCTACACGACGCGAGCTAAGCCCAAGGAGTAAGAGTTCCAGTCCGAATGCTACCGTTGAGGCTATGCTAAGTTAGCTCTTCATTGCAGGCTCACACAGAAAGTGTGTCAGTTTTCTGATGGTTTCCGTGTTTGTCAAATGTCCGTAACCCGCACAGGACATCTACAGCCTCATCCACCAGCCGTCTTTGTCTTGTATTCAACTCAATGCATTTCTATAAAGCTAATGACTTGTTTTTTTGCTTTTGTTTTTTGTTTTTTTATAAATGTCATCCTAAACATTGACTCTCCTCCACGTCGAAGCCCGGAGCGTTCTGTGGGCTGCGACCAGTAGCACTAAACACCAGTTAAACAGCGTTTGTCTGCCGTGAAGTTACAGCTTCGTGAAACGTGAACCACATTGATTTCCAGTTTTCACGGAGTCTGGCTCGGACTGGTCCTGACGCCAGCCCTGTGGGGCGACTTGACGGGACCAGGTTGTTGTTCGACAACAATTTCGGCCATGTTGTGTCAACTAGTCGGCTGCTTGCGAGTCAGTTATGTTGCCAGACTGGTCAGTCGGTAACCGTCGGCTCACGTGAGCGAGCTGTCGTCACGGTAATGTGGCTGGTGACGTAAGGGGCGTGGCTCCGAGGAGCAGCCTGACGTCAGCAGGTCCAACGTGCGGATCCTCAGCTCCTCGGCTCACCTTATATTCAGTTTTCGCTGGCTGGCAGCATCAGTGGGCTAATGTTGGCTAGCTGAGCACACACTCTGCTATGACTTGGCAGCTGCCCTACACATGTATAAATAGCTCGTAACTGAATCCTGCTTTCCATCCAGCGTCCCACCGACTTACCTGCTGCACTTGTTCCTCACCGAGTCCATCTGACCATGTTGTGTGTTGACATGAATGTCTGTTTGCGCTCCTCTCCCCTCAGGAAATGGAAAAACGGTTAGAAGAGAAGCTACGGATCAGCCAGAGAGAAAAGTAAGGACTGTTCATTTCATTTGTTTGAATCCAACTGAAAACTATCCTCTATTGCTTATTGCCATAAATACAAGCACAGACTTGACAGATTGATTTTCAGTTATGGGTGCAAATTAAATTAAAACAGTTTACATGCTAAAAAAAAAAAATACTGAAACCACTTGGAACTTTTCTCACATTGATCCATCCAGAATATTTTTTCTTTTTTTTGCCTTGGATGACATTCAGATAGGATCATCATACAGAGCTTTGTAGCGTTTATTTAAATGGTCAAACAAATGAGTCTCATGATCTCATGTGGCAGAACAATAGAAACAAGCTGTGCTCAGAGAAACCTCTGGTCTCAGGTGAGTGACCAAAAATGGCCTCAAAGAGTAAAACAAGATGTTGTAATGTCAGAGTTACCCAAACTGAAACCAAGTGATTTCATCTACACATGGGCTGTTTTCTAAAAGTGGAGCATTTTAAACACCAAGATCAAAGCTGACTGTGTTCAAATGCCAAAATCATGATTTTTAAATTGATTGTGCCACCCGACCACTAATGTCGATTCTGTTTGCAAGCACATCGTCCTCTTCAGTGTTTTTCTGTTTGTTGTTCATTTTGCTGTGCACATGTCAACAAGTTCTGTCTCGTAAATAAAGTTTGTAAACAACAACAAAACCCTCTATATATCCAAGAACCCTTAAATTGAAGTTAAGTCATGTCATGGTGGAGGAGAACTACACAAACTTTCTTATTGTATGAAGTAGCAGCATGATGTGCTTTAAGTAAGTCACTTCACATCACACTTCCTGCAGTGTGACTATTGTGCACCTTGTCCTTCGTGAGACAGTACATCAAGCAGGCAGCACTCCTCAGTCTGTTAGATCTGAATGTGGAGCAGACCTACAAAGCAGAAGCTGACATGTCATCAGTGAAATACGTCCTGTCGTCAGTCTGACGGCTGTGAATGCATCTCTGACTGAGTCTCGTTTTGCCGTCAGGGAATCCAGTAACTCTGCACGCTCTCCGTTGAAGACGACCATGGTGATACAGGACGACTCTCTACCAGCAGCACCCCCACCTCAGATACGCATTTTGAAGCGGCCTGCGAGCAACGGGTCACTGGGGTCCCCCCTGAATCAGAACAGGCCTACGCCGCAGGTCAAGTCTCTGGCCCAGCGAGAAGCAGAGTATGCTGAGGCCAGGAAGAGAATACTGGGCAGCGCCTGCCCAGAGGAGACGCCTCAGGACAAGCCCAACACTGACAGGTGAGCAGCAAATGGAGACGGTTTAGGAGGTCACTCAGAACCTACTGAAGCCTGAACAGAACTACACGTTGTTTATTGTTGTGCTTAAGACTGAATCTTGCTGTTGTCACAGATAGACGATAATCTGACAGTCTCTCCAGTTAGCCTGAGTCCAGTGACCAACATTTTTGATATTTAAAACGTGTTTATTTCTAAAGCGTGGTGCCATGTTTTACTCTGAAACAGCATTGTTGTTTTTATTTATGACCCTTGATTCAACGTTTTGCTAACGTTTATACAACTACAGTCTTGGACTAGAAGGAGAACATTTGTAAATGTTAGCACTATAAAAAACCCTTTAATACCAGTAATGGTAGTAATACCAGCTAACAATTAGAACCATAACTGTGTTAAAGCAGCTACTGATGATGGGACTAGTCTGAGCCTCGCTACTGGTCTTATTTTACAGACTATGGCTGACAGCAGCACATTGTTTTTGTCTGTCTTTTGGCTTGAATGGGTTGAAAACAAGAACTGCTGCTGAAACCTGCCAGCTGGCAACGAGCTGTGAGCAGTTTGTGTCCAGCAGCTGGCACATGGAAAAGGCTGCTGTCTCTGAGTTATTCCTGTTTCCTCTTTTTCTACCAGGCCAGGGCGCAATAACTCGACATTGCCTTCAGAGGACACCAGATCAAACAATCACACTGTCCGGCAGCCGGCCGGCCCAGACGGCACCCAAGGGTTCCGACAGCACAGATAAGTGGGCCTTGAGGGCCACCCGGCCATGGAGGGGAGAGCGAGCAGAGCCACCAGTGAGCAAACATAGGACTGTATTCCTGAAACTTCCTTCCTTCAGTTCCCTTGTACCAGACGGGCTGCGAGTCCAGTCGCATCGCTGCCCTCCTCCTCCCACTCACAGGAGTGTGGAGCTGCCAGGGAGCGAGGAACTCCAGCAGGAAGTCAAATGGAAATGTGCTCTCTTCTATCCCCAATGCAGTGTGTTGGCCACTGTGATTATGGACATCTTCTGGACTCACTGTGATGATCCCCTTTAAGAGAAGCCCCTCACCTCCACCTCTCTCTTCCTTCAGTCCCTCACGGCTCCATCCAAGGATGCCCGAAGGCCAGAAGCAAAGACTTGAACAAAGGACAGTGAGGAGAGAGGAGCGGAGCAGACGTGAGGGGCCATATCAAAACGAGACGCGCTGGCACTTGTGCTGCAGCTTCTTCCCAGCAATAATACCAGACATCACTTCAATGTTTTTAATTTTTCAGATGTTGGCTCACAAAATTTTTATTCTGTTTTTCTTGCTTGTCTTTATCGATACTAGGGATGCTCTGATATCTAACAAATACAGATAGAAGTACTTTATATGACATGTACACCACCAAGAATCTGTATTTATTAATGAGATTTTTAAAAAAATAAACATAACATCTGCAGTTTTTATCAAATAGGACACACATTTGTCCACCTTTGTTTGGTGGCAAAACAGAAATGTTTTAAAGAGACAAGTGTCCTGCATTAAATCCACCTCTAATGCTGAGTACTTACCTGAGCGGTTGGGATTATCAGTGCACCTCTACTATGTAAATCGCCATTTGTTTTTAAAAACCGAGGGTAGGGGTCGTGTGTGTGTGTCAAGTTGTGTATCTGACAAGTTCTGTTTACGGTTTGTTTTTTTTAATTGAGCTGTCTTCTTTGGACTGTCACTTCATTTCTATTTAAAAGTAAAAGCAAAAAAAAAAAAACACATGAAAAGGAGATGAGTAGCTTTTCTGCTTTTTTCTATAAGCGATGTCAGAGCAAAGCAGTATTTTAATTGAAACGAACCAAAATCCCTTTTTAAAACCAACCTTAAAAACGTCACTATTATTGGAAGGTGGTGTTGGCAGCGACTGGCAGGAGGGTCAGATGGTAGAACGAACTCACTGCTGTACTTCACAAGCCTCCCCCGTTGCGTCGCCACCTCCTCGGCGGTGTGCTTGTTCCTTCACGTCGTCCTCTGAAGTACAGCACATTGGAACTCAGGTGCAAGTGAACGAGACTGAATGAATGAAATGAACTAAGATTGTATTTTTCCAGCAGGTTTGATTGCGCAAACAGCTAATGTCCGTATTTAAGCTTGGGTTAAGCACTTAGAAACGGTGCTCTGTCGAGAGAAATGTAACTGAAATGATGTCCACGTCCCGAGGTGAATGAATGCCAGGTGTTTTTTTTTTTGTTTCTTTTGTCTTAACTGTCAGCATCTTGGTAACGTGTTCAGTAACTGACGGTCCACTGCTTAAACCGAGACGCAGCTGGATGTGAACCAGAGAGGAGTCGACTACGTGGCTTTCAGGACCGTCGTGCCCAGATGTTCAGTTTTTCACCTTTTTATTTGTACAAACAGAGAGATCTCAATAAAGCCATATTCAGTGGTGCAACATCGATACAAACGTTCTTGTAATGGTTGAATTCAGCTTGTGCCTCCTGTATCACATCTTTACTTCCGGGTTGTTTTTATTACTGTAGTTCGAGAAAACTGAGAAAAATGTTTGAGGGCGAATTCACGAGACTCTTTAAGAGGTTTTTAGTTCAGGAAATCTAGCGGCAGAGCAGCAGACAGTCGGGTTCTGCTGAGCTCAGAACACAAACTGCCTGTAAATACTGATTTAATAAAAATGATTTGCAAAAAAATGTGACTTCATGTTAATTACTTTAGAACTATTGTGTGATTTCACCAACCAGGCAAGCTGTAGACCACATCCATGTCTGTCCAGACCTGACCTTAAGATAAAAAAGTTATCAAATCATTGATCATTTTATCCAGTTGCACATTTCTGTGAATTCTTTGGCATCTGGAGTCGTGGCCAAGAATGTGTTTTGTGACCTTTGGCCACTAAATTCTAATATGTTCATCCATCCATCCATCATCTCTACACCTTAATCCTCGTGGGGGGCTGGAGTCTATCCCAGCTGACTCAGGGTGAAGGCAGGTTCACCTGGACAGGTAACCAGTCTATCACAGAGCTACACTTAGAGACAGACAACCAAGCACACTCACATTCACACCTACGGACAATTTACAATCACCAATTAACCTCAGCATGTTTGTGGACTGTGGGAGGAAGCCGGAGAACCCGGAGAGAACCCACGCTGCACGGGGAGAACATGGAGACTCCACGCAGGAAGATCTCCGGATGTGAACCAGCGACCTTCTAGCTGTGAGGCGACGGTGCTAACCACTGATCCACACATTTGAAACTCCCTTCTCTCTTCTAGACGTGTTGTGTTTATGAGGATGGGACAAACCTGAAAGCGATGCCTCCAACTTCAGCAGGCACCTTTACAAAACAACAATACACCACAACTTTATGGAAAACACCAAAACACACACACAGCATTGTTTACATAAAAATATTTTTTTATCACTTCAGGTAAACATGACTTTGCATTCAAGTTAACTCCAAGGGATGAAGCACGTTGTTCCCCAGCCCGGCTTTCTTTAGCTGAACTGCTTCAACTAAATCATGGCTTAGTGGCATTACTAATGTGTGGCTCCACAGGTTTGCAGATATGCTGTGTTTCCTTGGCTAAGTGTTTCGCTCAGGCTGAATATAGTCAGTGGGGAATAAATGATGAAAGGGTGGCACTTCTTACAGCCATTTAAAGTCCTGAACTCTGACCTTCTCCAGGGCAGCATCATGGCGGGTTAGCAGCTTCGAATGGAGCCACCTTCGTGACACTGAAAACTTTAAGCTCCACATACCACGCTAACCCATTAAATAGAACATCCCTCGGACATCCACAGCACTGCTGGGCTCAGGCGATCGACAGCGTCCAAATCGGGGCTAGCTGAATGCTAGCTCAAGCAGGCGATTGTGTGAGATGTGGGGGACAGAGTTCGATTGAGGGGCGGCCATGATGCGGAGTCGGACAGAACGACGTTCAGACGCTTGTACTGCTTCTTGGACTGACGTCTTCCACGCAGCAGTCGAAGGCAGTTCAGCATACCCAGGTCTATCAGCACCTGAAGGAAAACAATTGTACGGTTAACAAGGACTTTAGAAGGAGATAAGAAATGGACACTGGGAGTAGTGGTTGGACAACGGTATGACATTTTATTACTTCTCCCATCATGAAAACGTTAACCACTTCGCTACTGACATGAACTCAAGATGAATAAAGCTTCTTGTTTGTCCACAAAGGAGAATATTCCAAACTTTCATAGCTCCCACTGATGATTGAGCCGTTCTGTTTACGTCGATAAGCGACTGTCCAAAAGATCGAATATGAAAGCTTCACATCGTCACTTACCTCCACAACAAAACAAACGAGGAAATTGAGAGCGGCGACAGCAACGAGCAGCATTTTAAAGTCCATATCAGTGATGTTGTACAGTTGAAGCTGTCGGCTAAAGAAAGGCCCCGGATACAGCACCAGCCACGTCATCAGGGCAAAGTGGACGAAGAGCAAACCGAGGAACACCACTGAAAGACAAAAAAAACAAATCGCTTCTGAGTCCTAAATCTAATGACGATGGTAATGATGAACAGCCAGTTATCAGCGTCAGTTGCAGATCATTCTACCCAGACACTCGTGACTCACGGTTGTGGTAGAGAGGCTTCTTGTGGGGGTAGCCCTTGGTGACCACCACGGCCATGATGATGTACTGGAAACCCGACAAGTCAAACACGCTGGTGTTCTCCATGTTGGGCAGATTGGCCGTTCCAAACACTGTTGAATTCAGTGGAATGTACCTAAAACACGAGGGATGAGGTGTGTTATGTGTAGACGGTCTACTCTACATCACAGACATCGGATTTGTTTGGTGAATATACAAACTAGTATTAGAGGACCCATGTGGAGAGAATCCATCGTTATTGTGGTTTGTATGTCTTGAGATGTAAAATAAAAGCTGTTAGCATATGAAGCGGTGACGTCACTATAACACTGCGTGCTAGCTGCAGGCTGACAACACAGACAAGAAGCACCACCTCTGCTGGACCAGGGTTCCTCTCCTGTGGACTGGGCCCTTTAACGTCGTCGTCGTGTTCATACCTCAGAAATACTTCCTATAACTGCGATGTTGTCTCACAAGCTCACCAAACACATGAGTGGAAAACAACAACTGTGCTGTGGAATCAGCAGCATTTTAATGTATAGTTATCTGTTAGAGAGACAGTTAAAGGTTAAAGAAAGCCCTTCTCTACACTGCCAATTACTGATGCAGAGAGACACGTGAGACTTTCATTAATTTGCTAAAACGGGGAACAACATGGGACCCTAAAATGTTTCTCTCTTTGCACTGACCAGTCCTGTGAGGTGGTGATGAAGAGTGCAGCCAGCTGGCCGAGGACGGTCATGCAGGTGTGGATGAAGAGGCTGCCCAGGACGGGCAGGGTCAGCAGGCTGGCTGGGGGTCTGCAGGGGTGCAGCTCCTCACTGGGGTCCCCTTTTCCCATCACGATGGCCAGCAGCGTCACCAGAAACAAGTCAGAGTACAGGAACTGCAGATCGGCCACGCTGGTCTTCACCTGGACACACAGACCAGGAACAGGTGTTTAGCAAATCACTTGTTCAGTTTGGAAACTTGTACCAGACGTAATTTAGGTCGTAATTTATAGTTTTTGGCTGCACAGCATTTTGAAATGACACGATATAAGAATGTATGATGAATAACACTGAGAAATATTTGTTAAAATAATTTTGTCGAATTCAAAAATTGTTCTGTATTTTAGATAACTTAGTCCTATGATTAGTTTTTTTTAATGTTGCGGTTCCAAAGCATCCACGTTAAACATTGACAGGACAGAAATGTGACTATATGGCAGCAGCATGTTGAAGCTCATCCACCAGCGATGCACCACAGAAATGACTCATTTAAAAGTGACGGTGTGATGACTTCCCTCGCTGCTACTCACCGTGGAGAGGATGAGGACGGAGCAGAACTGGATGAGGCTGTACATGGCCATGTATCTGAAGAGGCTGACGGATGTGACCAGAGAACATCGGCCCTCTCTGTACAGACGAGGAGGAAGAAAAGTTTTATTTGTTCTGCCCCTGTACAGTCTGTGTCGCTTATGTTTACGCTGCTTTTCTGCTGCCCAGACTTTCTCCTACGTCCTCACCTGATGAGCAACGGCACACAGCTGATGTTTTCGGTCTTGGAAGTGAACGGCGAGGCCACCGAGGCCTCGGCTTCAGAGAGGGAAACCCCGACATCAGCAGCTCTCAGGGCGCCGCAGTCATTGGCCCCGTCTCCACACATGCCCACTCGGTAGCTGCAGACACAGAACCAGGGTTTGACTAATAACTGGTGAACGTTACATCGTAGCCAGTCAGCGACTTTCTAGCTGCGAGGTGACGAGGTGACCGAGACACCTTGCAGCCCAGTACTGGTCCTTGATTCCCCCTAATTCTCTGTGTCTTCTTTCAGTATATTCCCACGCTTTTTTAAAAAAAAAATTCCTTTCTGTTCTTCCTTAGTTTCCTTCCTCTTTTGTGTCTCAACAAAAAAACGGACTTACTTCAGTTTCTGCAGCTCCTTCACCAGCTGGGTTTTCTGGTCGGGGGCCATTCGTGCAAATATCGTGGCTCGCATTAAAACCTGCAATGACAGCATGTCCAGTTATCAGTGAGTTAACTTGGTCCTCATCAGAACATCGCTGCTGGGAGTACACGGTTCACGTTACCTTTGGAAGATACTCAGGAAAATATTCACAGAGGGCAGCAAAGGACTTTCCATTGATAGCCAGGTGATAGCCGAAGCCGCCCTGGTACAGACCCTGAGAGGAGACGGACACACGTCAGTGACGGCAACCAAAACGCATCTGATGAGGTGAAATATACATGTAGGCCGTGGAGTCCACATCAGACTGAACACTGAGGAGACTAAGCAGGACCAACCTGAGTGAGGACCTCTATGGAGCTCTGGGTAGCGGCGGTGCCTCCATCTTCCAGGCTGAACCGCAGCGAGGGCACAGATTGGGCAGTGTGGCCGGTTGCAATGACGAATATCACCTTCTCATCCGATCCCAGCATCCCGCAGCTCTTTGCCACATTAACTGCTGTTAAAATGTTGTCCCCTGTGTGAAGAAGAGAAGGTTTAACATCACAGAGTGCATAATAATGTGCTCCTCAAGTGATATTCAGCTTAAAAGTAAACGTGGATGCATGAATTAAGGAAAGTCTGCATGTTGATGTCTACAACTCAGGTCTAAACAATAAGGTGTAACTGCAAAGAACAATCAGATGTGGGGAACACTAAACATCTCTCACCAGTGACCATGACGGTGCGAATGTGTGCCAGTCTCAGGACGTTGATAACTTTGGCGCTCTCGGGCTTCACCAGGTTCTTCATCATCAGCAAGCCGAGGAACTGCATGTCTCTCTCCACCTCCTCTCTGTGGTCGGACACGCAGCCGTGTGAGCGCTCAGAGCAAAGCTAATCAGAGAGCCGCTGAGGAGGAGCTTTGGTGCAACAAATACAGACTGTGTTCTCACCGTTTGATGGTCTTCAAGTCAGAGTTCACGTCTACGGGTTTGTAGGCCAGTGCAAGAACCCTGAGGCCTTCGCTGGAGAAGGAGCGCAGTTTGCTGGAGAACTGTGCCGGCACTGTGAAAACAACAACAAAAAAGAATCCTGTTTGTATTAATGTGATGGAAAAGATGTTGATGTAATGAAGGCAGAGTTTGGTCGAGGAGAAGAAATGCTTTCATTCTAAATAAATGTGTTTATATACGTAAAACATAAATGACTGCTTCACCGACATCTGACTCTTACAAACATATCTGGATGCAGATGTTCTCTAAGCTTCTGGGTGGTTTTTGTTTTGTCCCATTTTCACTCACATGAATTTTTGTCACATGACTGAGATGGAAGTTATCAGGAAAACAAAAAACCGACGATTCTTTCTTAACAGTTTCTGGCTGTCATTCTGATATTTTTTTTAAATGTGCTTTTCAGACCTGCTGGCAGCTCTTGGGGTTCACAGGGTAAAGCTGTAGTTACGACTCATCACAAGTTTCTGATCTGACCTGTTTCAGCTCGACAGAGGCTCGCCACCATCTCCGGGGATCCTTTGATGAACGCCAGAGCCGAGCGTCCCCCCTGGGCCACCGTCACCACGCTCATCCTCTGCAGGGCCGACGAGAAGGGAAACCTCTGCACGATGGCCACCGCCTCGCTTGTGGACTTTCATAAAAATCAGACAGAACAATGAGAATATAACTCCACAGTGATGTCAAGTTTCCAGAGAAAACATTCGGGACACAATGAAAAAGCAGAGATCTCATTAAAGAGGTGACACTACTGAGCTGACGAAATAGTTGCTTTAAATACCGCTGGAGCCCTGGTAGCATCTATAGGCTAGTTGTTACCACATAGCACCAAGAAGAGAAATGGCTGCACGACAGCATCACAGCCCTACTGACCGTGTGTGTGATGGTAACAACACTCACAATTCCTTCAGCAGGAGGTCTCATAACAGCCAAGACTTTGTGGCCTCCAAACTCTGCATCCAGCACGTTCCCGTCTCCCTCCGGCTCCTGGAGGCTCTGGAAGATTTAAATTAGAAACTGTTTTTCACCGTATCCAAGAACAAGAAGGAAACTTTGAAATTCTTCTGTTCAAAATGGTTACCTGGACAGGTAACCAGTCTATCACAGGGCTACACTTAGAGACAGACAACCAAGCACACTCACATTCACACCTACGGACAATTTACAATCACCAATTAACCTCAGCATGTTTCTGGACTGTGGGAGGAAGCCGGAGAACCCGGAGAGAACCCACGCTGCACGGGGAGAACATGGAGACTCCACGCAGCCCATACACATCCAACATCAAGTGAATTGTGAAACATTATGTCAGCATACCCAACCAGTGGACTCGACCATCTTGAGCTCCAGAGGGTCTCCGAGGGGCTGCCCTCGCAGCAGCGTGACGGTGTGACAGCAGGCCAGGCCAGAGAGCATGGGCCCCGGCAGCAGCAGCGTGGGCTCTGGAACCAGCTCTGAGAAACCAGCAGTTCCCCCCTCCATGACTCCCCACACATCCAGACCCTCCTCAGTCAGTGTTCCTGTCTGGAAACAACAACAACAGCATGTAAAGTGGCAGCAACTCTAGTCTGTAAAGTGGTGTGGACGGGTTCCCTCTTACTTTGTCAAAGCAGAAGAGTGACACCTTGCCACAGATGTTGATGCGAGGTGGACTGATGCAGAAGATGCCCCGACTCTTCAGCCGACGCTGGGCGTAGATGGTGCCAGTGGTGATGGCAGCAGGCAGCGCAGGAGGCACCGCAACAGTCACGATGTCCAGGCTTCGAATAATCAGCTCCAGCCAGGTCACCTGGACACACAACCAACAGGTCAGTGATGACGCTGTCTTTAATGCTGAATGCCAGGTAAAGACAATTTGTCTCACACGGCTGCTTGCACTTACCTCGGTTCTGATCAGGATCACAAAGATGTAAACGGTGCCAATGAGAGCTGAAGGGAGAAGGACAGTATATAAGGACACAATCTGAGCAACACACACAAAACAGGAACATCAGCTCGTATACACTCTATCAGGTCACTGCTGAAGCTCTTACCGACAAAAGCCAGGATGAGCAGAAACTTGACAGCATCTTGATAAAAGCGGAAGTTGATTGGCTGAGGGTACAAAATGGAGCTGATCAGGTTCCCTTTGGCTGTGAAAAACCCTGTGAATGGCAGAAATGTGTCCTTGGTGGGTAGCCTCTCAAGAAAAACACTGCTCTATGGAGATACTAGCGGTCAGGAGCTCTACAGGGCACCTCAACCTTCATACGAGTGTTACCTGGCACAACACACACCTATACTCTCATCCTGGTATTATCTCATCATCACTTTCTCTACTCACCAGTGCTGGTGACCACGGCAACAGCCCCGCCACCTCCCAGCGTCCCGCCTTTGGCCTGAATGAGCTGGGTACCACAGAACAGGGTGTGTCTGCGCTCCGTGTCTGAGCTGTACCTGCCCTCACCAGCCGGCAGCGGGGTTTTCAGCACGGGGACACTTTCACCTGGATGATGGGAACAGGTTAATGCCCTAAAATATGTAAAAGGCTAAAAAGATTCAGCAGGACACACGGCAAGTTTTGCAGATTGTTAGCAGTTTGCTAAATGATGTCTGTCTGTACTAACTCATGAACAATCATTACTGAGGGGTAAGAAATAAACGGCCAGACCTGACACATAGCACAAGGGAATGTACTCAACACACAGTCCTTTGAAGAACTAACTAATAACTTTGAAGGCCGATTTGTGCTTCCAATCGGCTCTAAGGTTGTGAAATGTGATGTGATCCTGGTTTTGAAGAGTCCTTGTGTTAAACCCCAAATTAAAAAAAGTAAACAAAGTAAAAAAAAACTACAAAATTTATCACCAAATATCCATAAAAGATTCCTAATCATTACTCACTGACTTCTGAGAGTTTCATGAGCCCTGTGGTGTCGCATCTCATTAAAACAAATAGGAGCAAATAATCCTACAGTTGAAGTTAAAAACATAGAACAAATCCCTGCAGCTCCTCTGTGGACTACCTGTAAGCATGCTCTCGTTGACGAGACACTCCCCAGCCAGCAGGGCAGCGTCACAGGGCAGCAGCAGACCCTCCTGAGGGATGATCAGGCAGTCGCCAGGGACCAGGTCCACCGAGCTCACAAGCTGCTCCTCTGAGAAAACACACAACCACGGATCAGTGCTGATATGGAAGCTTCTAAGGCAGGGGTCTCGAACTCCAGTCCTCGAGGGCTGCAATCCTGCATGTTTTAGATGTTTCCATCTTCCAACACACCTGATTCAAATGATCAGTTCATCATCAAGCTCTGCAGAAGCCTGATAACGATCCTGATCATGTGAATCAGGTGTGTTGGAAGAAGGAAACATCTAGAACATTCAGGATTGCGGCCCTCGAGGACCAGGACTGGACACCCCTGTTCTAAGGTCTATGAGATGACGTGTGTTATGAATTGACTTAATATTGAGTTGTGGGATTAATGCAGAATGACTTGACAGAAGCAGTCTGGCTTTACTCGGTACAGTAAATCAAAATAAATTCCTCTTTTACTTCCTTTTATTCACGTTAAATAGAGAACTGGAAAAACAAAAGTGGTCATTTTTGTACTTCACTCAAACTTGTCAGAAGTTATCATGTGCAACCATCGGTGTGGTCAGGAAACTAAATCTGAGCTTTAAACTGCAATATTTCATCAAAACACCTTGATTCTTCATGTCTCATGTAATATTTTTGATGGAACCAGATTAAACAACCAAAAAGCCTCGACTGACTCAGCTGTGACCAACAGTCATGTGACCAAACATCCGCCACTGTTCAGGTCAACTGGGCTGAACTGCAGACTGTGTTTACACTGAGTGGAGCGGAGACAAGAACGGAAACCAATTAAAAATATAAGTAGTAAAATGTCGACAGTATTGTTTCCCAGTGTTGGTAAAAGCCTGTGGGCACAACATGTTGATTCCATTAGATTTTTGTAAAATAAATAATCAAAGAAATTCCCCTTCTGCGTTACCCTTTTTATGATTCACAGCATTTTACATTTGTTTTGCTGCACACAAGATATTTTGGGTTGTATTGAAAAACGAGGCCACAGTGAGGAAAAAAACAAACCCACAAGGCTCATGGGGTTCAGAGGATTACAGAAAAGTCTCCTGAAGATAAAAAGTTCTTTGCTCCTGTAACAAACTAAAATGAAAACTTATTTTACTACCAAGCAGACGTCTAATCTGCAACTTGTTTTGTAACTGTTTGCACTAATGACCGCCCTACATTCCTCCCTGTGTGTACATCTCAGCTGGCGTGTCGCCTGTCAACATGTTGAGCTGAGAATAAATTTTATTTTCACTATTTTTGTTGTTAAGCAACCGTGTGAAACAAAAACAGCTCAGATGGGTTTTTGCCTCAAGGGAGAAACGTCCTGTGGGGTTTTTTGTTTGCATTAACGTTTCTCACTTAAACACGTGCACACCTTCGGCTGTATTGAATGTATGTCTTTTGTCAGAAAACATTTGCACAGCCAGTCTGGGAAAGCTTTGAACCCTACACTGTTCACCTGTGTGCAGTCTTTCCCCTTCTGGGTTCAAACAAAGCGAGGAGCAACTTGCACAAACTCCACCTGGTATCTTTAATAAAAACATTGATCTCTGGTTTTTATTTTGGCGTGAAACCGTGAGTTTTGCATTAAACACCACGGACATGACTCACCCATGGTGATATTTATACACTTGGTGTTTAGTAAGAATAGGAGTCACGTAGAAGTGGCAACCTAAATCTCCCCATAGAGGGCAAAGGGTGTGATACAGAAGTGCTGAAATAACGTTGAGTCCAAAACAGAAGAGGAATTGAAACATTGGTGTATAAAGAAATGCATCGTACATTATTGGCCTCCATCTCAGACAACACCTGGGCACACTGTGAACAGATCAAAACCTGTCTTTTACGGTTTCTGATCTCTTCAGCAGTATACGACTCCATGAACCTCTACACCAACCCTTACACTCATCGGGACCCCAAGGTGGTCCCAACTGTTTTTTTATTTTCCAGACCTGCTGCTCTCTCTCTGTTCCTTTAACACTGTAAAACTCTTCAGGTCTTTATCTGAAAACACTTCTGCTGCTCTTCTATCGTCAGACGCACAACATCGTTTCAGGCTTCACATGGCAAAATGATTCCAAGCATCCAATCATGAAAATCCACACATTTGATTTCCTAAAACTACAAGAAAACCATACAGATTTTAAAAAAAGCTCACCTCCTGAGTTTCTGCGTATTGTGACGTTGGTGACCAGCTGGGCCATGTTGCGGAGGGTGACGCTTTGCTGTGGAGGAAGGTCAAAACATTTAAACACTTTTATTTCTGTTCATATCCAGAGCTGAGCCCATAAACAGTCGTGACTCGATAATCTGACCCTTAACAATCCTAAACCTGCTATCTGACAGGTTTTTAGGAAAAACCAACAGAACCCATAAAAACAGCCTTAACATAGCGACAGCCTTGGATTGTGACTCCGACATGACATTTAATGTCACCAATCAGGATGACGGCGTATTATCTGACTGAACAATCCCACAGATTGGCTACGTTCACACTGCAGGACTTGATGCTCAATGAGGATTTCTTTGTGACTTCCTTCACGTTTCCAGTTCAATGCGACTTGTATGTGATCTGCTGTGTGAACTTCATACGAGCCAAAAGTGTCCCGCATGCACAGAAGAGGACACGACGACGTCACACGCAGCGAGCGTGCTCAGTGTTTATGGAAGTAAACATGGATGGTAACGGTGGAGCGTATCTGCCACTCCCCCGCCGCCACCGATGGAGGAAACAGAAGTGTGAGCGCTAACTAAACTAGCATCAGCAGCCAAGTACTGCCTGTGTGTTCTGGACACTTCCACCCCGTAAGAGCGCTGCCCCGGGGTGGAAGTAGCCGGAACGTGCACCAGCGCACCGGTCAGTTAGGCTGAAGTCCAGCGATGCGTAGTGTTCTAACAACACACTAGTTATTATAACAACTATGAACAATAATGAACAACTAATGAGCCTTCCAGCATCAAGCCCTCCTTGTATCTGGACCTCCGTCTTGACAATCCAACAGCCTTGATATCCAACATAGAAGAAGGTTTTACATTTAGTGTTGGATTATCGAGTCACGGCTGTAGTTTGATCATGTTTCCCACCACAAACTCACCTTGCGGGTCTCGTACAGTGAGATACTGATGGAGATCACAGAGATAACAAATATACATAAGGCATAAAAGTAATAGTTATCGATCGTCCACAGGATGATGCTGAAGACTTGGAACACATAGAATGGGTTGAGGACCTAGAGAGGTTAAAAAAAAAAGAGAATAGAGAATTGAATTTTAAATATACCATCACTTCCAGAACATTTAAACAACTATGAAAGAAGCTTATGTAAATGTGATGTTTCATCTCACCTCCTCAAACAGCAGCCTGACGTAAGGCTTCACAGGCACGTCGATGATGTTGGCCCCGTACATGCGTCTCCTGAAAGCATTCATGTGATGAATTACTCAGCGGTGCTCTCTGGAATGACAGAACGACTGTTTCTCCATCTATACAAGCTGTCCTACCTTAAGCTCTGCTCCAGGGGACTGAGGCCCTTTTGGAAGCCATACAGGTCTTTGCAGGTCCAGTCCTCATTGAGGACACTGCAGAGATGAGGGAGTTCAGCATCGTTGGAAATATCACACTCAGAACATCATTTGATGGAAGCAACAAGTGTGTGTTTTTAAAAGGCTTTGCTTCGAGGTATTGTCTTTCCTAAATCAGTACCTAACACGACAGAAGGCTCCCTTCCTGTCCAGCCAGACGTAGCGCAGCCCCTCAAACAGGTAGTAGCGCAGCAGTGTTTTCTGTAACACAACAAAAGTCTCTTTGAGGCCTGGAAGGAACATCATGTCACAGATTTTTATGCAAACAACAATTGTTTACTTCCTTACCTCCTCCTTGTACAGCTGAGCCGTATCTCTCCATTCAGCATCCTCCAGCTGTCCCACGAGCTCCAAACTAAAAAGAAACAAGAACGTAAGCAGAGCCTACGCACACTTTTATTTTCGCATTGTGTGGAAAAACTAAAGGCGATACAGTCAGAGAACTTTATGATGCCAACGAATGCTTCCTCGGTCCTCACTTCTCAAGTCACTTCACTACTTTGAGCCTCCTCGTCTCCTCTGTCCTCCTGCAGAAATAAAGCTTGGCACACCATCGTGAAAGATATCTAAATTTTAAAAATGCCTTTCGAGGAGAGAGGAGAGAGGAGGCTTGATGGAGGAGCTATGAGGGAGGATGACCAATAACTTTGAAGGATATCTCGTTTTGTTAAACGCCTGCTGCCTCGACTCCTCTCTCCTCACATCTCACGTGGTCGGGAATAAGACACGAGGAAAGGAGTCGAGGGAAAGAACTGAAGAGGTACAAACTGAAAAATAAACCTCCAGCAGACAAGGAGCAAAGAGAGAAGAGGCTTCAGGAGGAGCTCTGAGGGAGGAAACAGGCTAATCCTACTCAGAAGTCTTTCATCGAGCGGTGTGACGTATAAACGCTGCACCTTCATGGTGTCAGTTTGATCTGACGGGCGATACAGCTGTGCAGCACATCATAAATAAGGTGTGGAACCAAGGATTTCACATTTGAATTTTCTCTCACATCCTCACTGGGAGAAGCAGAGACATGAGGGAAGTAAGGAGACGTGTGGACCAGCGTCCATGCAGCTCACCTGCCCTCCTCCACCTCCTCTGTGGCGACCTCCACCACATGCTGCTGGCCAAAAGCGTCCTAAAGGAAAAGATCAGACACCTGCATGAGATTGCTGGAAACCATTTGCTTTACCAACAACGATATGAAGCGCCGTGGTCCCGTAGATACAGAACGGTTTAACATCTGCCACTAGCATTTACGCTGATGTGAATATTATGAGATGGAACCAACAAAGGTGTGCATGTAGTTAGTGCAGCCACACCAGCCAGCGTGATCAGGAACAAATGAATCCACTGTTACATCCAGTCAACACGTCATGTGAATCTAACAAGACTGGATGATAAAGATTCACCACAAAGTGTTTACCAGACCCGATTTTTGAAGGCTAATATTTTAGGTGGCTGATTTAAGTTAAAATTAAGGTATACTGCTTCTTAGAACACAAATAGACGATTCCTAAAATGCCAACAGACATCCAATCACAATACCAGGTGTCATATTTTTTGCAAATAAAGTATTTTCTCACCCTCAGCAGCAGAACATCGGCCAAAGCCAGCGGGCAGCAGCAGCAGCGGGCGAGGACGGCGAGCCGCGGACGCCAGTGGAAGACGACCAGGAGGAGGCCCAGGGACAGCACTGCAGCCAGACGGCACAACCAGACCCGCCAGCGCACCCACTTATAGCCCTGGACGTCCTGGTGGGCACAGAGACAGACAGTCATCTTTGTATTTGACAATAATTCACATAATCTGTGATGGTGTAGTAGAAGTCCAGGTGTATGTCATTCATAGCAGACAGATATAAGAACCACATGTCAGAATATGAGATCTCTAACACAAACAACCACTGAGCTACACTCGCTCAAACAAAAAGTCTTCCTATCATCCCCGGTCTCCCCTATATGCTGCATCTTCATCATCTTTATACATATATTTGCCCTCTGTTCTTGTTTACATCTACGTTACTGTTGCTATCCATCCTTTGTCGCTCTGGTGCTCATCGTCGGTTTAGCAGAAACACTGAGGAGGGTCTTACCATGTGCGAGTCGGGGCTGAGCAGAGGGTCTCGTGGACTCGGCGAGGGGAGTCCGCTCTGCGGCTCCGCCACACTACCTACAGAACAGGATGCCCGCCGTTACACAATGTTGTGACACCACAACGAAATGAGCAGCACAACACACACCCTGAAAGTCAATATTAACAAAGCACACACTGCAAAGCTCTCGTCTCGCTCAGAAACACAAGAACGGTTAATCCCATCTGTTGTATAAACTCAGATGTGAGAGGCAGAAACACGGCAGGTTCAGGTCCGAACCGGGCTGAGACCAGCTCATCTCCACGTCACTGTGGTTCAAACAGTGTTAATGATGACAAGGAGCTTCATGAATGTAGTTGCTGTTCAATAAAAGCCTCACACAGGTCACACAGTGTTGCTGCAACACATAACGGCTGTCAACTAATTAAAAAAAAGAAAAGAAAGAAACATTTGTTTGATTCCTCCGTGACAGTAAACTGGACGTCTGTGGGTTGTGAGAGGACACCACCCCGAGCTTTAATCCATGTTTATCACTTTATGACAAACTGAGATTTAATGAGAAACTGATTAATGTGGAAATAGTTGACAGGTTAATAACCGAGTGTTTAAACAAACAGGCCACGTTTGTTTGAGATTAGCCTCATTAGAACAAAGCCAGCATTTCATTTGGCTAAACAACAGCCGAGCAACACAATCTCCTGTCAAGTAGAAAAATCAGCCTGAATGATAACTTCACTAAACAGTTAAATCAGTGGTGGTTAGGCCATCTGAGGGCCCAGGGCTTTATTAGTGGCACCAGATGTACTCTTTAATGCATAAGAACAATAAAAGATGTGTTCATCTGTCATTCTTTTGGTAAATTATAAACCAAAACATGAGCTGCTCCATTAACACCAGTGAAAATGAAAAACTGTCTGATTAGGAATGTGTGAAAATGTGAATATTTCCTGGTTCTTTCCTTCTCTATGACAGTAAATCTGTAGGTTACAGCCCTGATGTGTGGCAGGAATAACGAGCACACAATGAAAACACCGTGAAACGTGGAGATAGTGGGAGACAAACATTAACCGTAATGAGGTCAGTGAACGCACCACACGGGACGGCAGAACCACTGGGAGCAGCCGTAAACCTTATCAGGACGCTAAAAAGTCCCATTAAGTGTTTAAAGTTTGCTGTAAACTCAAACTGGAGTCAGTGAAGGTAAAACATACAATCAGAACATAAAGATCAGTAAAGCCGGACTCAAATCCCGCTTCCGCGTCTGGATGAAAACATCGCGACAACATCGAGCTGCTTCCAGCAACATGTGAAAACAAACGCACCTTACCGTCAACTGTCTTCTGTCTAAAAGCTTTATTATCCAGAAAGCTTTCCAGAGGACAGGTAGTGTGTCGCTGGTGGAGCCCAGTCTGCCCTGCCGTGAGCCGGACTCACCTGACGGCTACACCTGTTGGACCGGCCAGGTGAGGAGCCTCCACCTCCCACCTGGCGACCAGAACAACACGGATGGTCCACTTCTCAGCAAAGAAACAATGCGTGTTCCCTGTTGTCCTATTTTACTGAATCAGCCAATAAGAAATCCACACATGTTGCTGTAGCTCAGCAGGTAAACTAAACACCTGGTACCGGACCGTGTGGGAACCGATACCGGCTGCCAGGACCACAGGACCGGCTGGACCGAAACCACAACACACGCATCGTTCAGCCCAGAAACCTTCAGCTGGGATCCAGAGTCACGTGAATGTAAAACATGAGAAACTGTGCTGCAGGCAGAGCAGGATCATCCCCCTGAGTCCCTGAGCTCAGCACGTTAATGTGTATTCACCCCCTACCATTAAAGAAAAGGCAAAACTCACAAAAGTCACTCAAATGACCAGAAACTGAAAAAAGTAATAATAAATAAAAATTTGTTAAATTATAATGTAGTGAAATAAGACGTTGCTTTTGAATTTTGGTTGAAAAGAATAATTTAAAAAACAAAAACTGTCCCAGACAAATGAGAGCCCTTTGCTGATGAGCAGGGGTCCAGAATACCTGTCAACAGGTTCAGAAGTCTGACTGAGAGTTACAGAAAACACCTGATGATGGCAGTGATCGGCTCAAAGGGTTGTTCAGCTAAATATGAGGTCCCATCGTGCCCATCATCATCATAAATATTTATGTTGAACAGCAATTCAAAAGTCATGATTTTCATCCATCCATCATCATCTCTACACCTTAATCCTCACCAGGGTCATGGGGGGCTGGAGTCTATCCCAGCTGACTCAGGGTGAAGGCAGGTTCACCTGGACAGGTAACCAGTCTATCACAGGGCTACACTTAGAGACAGACAACCAAGCACACTCACATTCACACCTACGGACAATTTACAATCACCAATTAACCTCAGCATGTTTCTGGACTGTGGGAGGAAGCTGGAGAACCCGGAGAGAACCCACGCTGCACGGGGAGAACATGGAGACTCCACGCAGAAAGATCCCGGGTGTCCAGAAACCAGCGACTTTCTAGCTGTGAGCCACCTTGCAGCCATTTTGAAATGCTTGAGTTGATAAATTGAATTGAACAGTAATTTGAGGGACCAACCCTTCAGACAGAAACTTCTGAGGACAGAACGTTTACCCACAACACCCCCAGAAAAATAACCATTCAGCTGACTGTTAAAATAAACTCTCCATGCTGATGAAATCTTATCTGACCACAGCGACTTACAGTAAAACAGTCAAATGCAGTTTCCTTGTCACGACTTCCTGTCGCCACATTTAGTTAATTTAATGACGAGAGCGGTCGTGTTCTTTATGGGAGGTATCCACAATAACGTCACTGCTGCAGGTATTCTACTTAGAAACTGAAAAGTCTCTGAAACAAAACATGATGAAAAGAAATTGTACTTCCCGGTAAACCAGTCAGACTTTTACAAACAGTACAATGAATTTTAAAATGCTCCACTATCATATCATGTTTGAACACTTTAATGCAGATCAGGATGAGTATTCACTTCACTGATCAGGGCTGTAGCCTCAGAAGGTAAGAAAAAGGTCATCATGTGTTTGATTTAAAGATAAAATATGAAAAATATTCTGCACATCGATCTTCCTGTTTCTCTGTCTACATACACAGCGCTATCTGTGCACCATAAAAACTGCTTTATCGTTATGCTTCTGGTTTATTCATGTGAACGTTTATCAGGAATGAGTCATTTAGCCCAATCACATGCTTACTTTGCTTAACTGGGTCAAGCTCAACCAAAAATGGCTTAAAAGGCGTCAGATCTGCAGCAGATCCCTGCCGGCTCTGAGTTTAAACTCACAGTTTACTGAGTGTTTGGAGCTGCCCGTTTAAAGACATAATTAATCTGTTCGTTAATGGAATGCTTGTTTGACTTTGAAAATGGTTCAAAATGTGAGTCAGTGTTCCTCAAATGTCTTGTTTCGTCCACAACCCAAAGATGTCCAGTCACAGAGGAGGAAAGAAACACAAAGCGTGACGTTCTGAATCCTGCGTTGTCCAGTAAGAAGCTTTCGGTTTCACCTTGAACCAGATCGTGACACGCAGCCAGATTTTCTGCTGTGTCAAAAAAAGGGAAATGTGGTGTGAGCTCAAGTGACTGGACTGACATAAGACAGTCATGTGAGCTGAGGAAAGAACTCCTGAACCTCACCGACAGGCAACGTCAGCAGCACGTCCATGACTTGGAGGCAGAAACAGCAGCAGCAGTGAAGCATCAATGTCAGTATACGAGTGTTTAAAGCCGTGCTGATCGATTTATAACGCTGGGTCACATCATGATATAAACCTGTGAGACAGGAGAACATGGAAGCAGCTGTGTGTCTGCAGGACTGGCTCTTATTATCGCCCTTATGTGCAATAATTATTATATTGTACCATATTTTATTTATATTTTTAAAGTTCATAGCATCTGTTATATGGATCTTTAGTGTATACAGTGTATGTAGCTCTATTGCATTACATTTCTCAGCTCATCCTATTTATAGTTTATGTGTTCTCTTTTCTTCCTGTCACCTCTTTTTGTGCTCTATATTTTTTGTGCTGCTGCAACAGGTGAGTTTCCCCATTTGTGGTGAAAAATAAAGAGCAATCTAATCTAATCTATTGCAGCAGCTGTATTAGCAGCAGCAGTAGGACGGTACTCAGGTTTTTAGAATATCTGCACTGAAAGGACATTATTGCCTTAACTTTATCGTAACAGGAAGGAAGAAGAGATGCACGTGTCATTGGCAGCATTGTGAAAACACCACAACATGGTTTTAACGTGGCTATAACATGGCTATAACATGTTATAACATGGCTATAACATGGCTATAACATGGTTATAACATGGCACCCTCCCCGCCCTGCAGGACATCTCCACCCAGCAATGCAGGTCAAGGGCTGTGAAGATCCTGAAGCATCCTGGAAACTCCCTCTTCTCCCTGCTGCTGTCAGGCGATGCTATTGTTACCTAAAGACTGAAACTGAGAGATGAGGAAGAGTTTCTTCCCTCAGGCTGTCCGTCTGCTCGACTCTGAGCTTTAATACCAGACTGTACAACACACACGGACACCTGATGTACCATAACAGTGTTTATTTGCTTATTATTTGATTGTTTATGTGCATGTATACATGTGTCTATATACTTAAAGTATCTATACTTCTTTAACACTTATTTTTATTTTATTTATTTTTCTTTTATTGAAGCTGGAGGCTGGTACAAAACACATCTCACTGCACTGTGTATGTGACAAATAAAGCTTATCTTGAATCTTGATCTGTAAGTGGTAAGAACACGTTTTTCTTCTCTGTTTTTTTTACATTTAGGTGAAACGACCCTTTAAATTCAGTAACTATTTAGTGCTAAACAACTAATTGTGGCTTTTCTATTCTTAATGTTTATTTATATTTTACTAGACTTGTTGCTGTATTTTTACTTTTGCTTACATCCTGCTCTTGTTTTATTGTACTTAATATTTGCTAGACTTTGTCTTAAAAAACCTGAGGACTAATTTCGTGCCACTAACGTGTGAATGTGAGCTGGCCTGATAAATAAAGTTCTTTGGATCCTTCAGTAAACTAAACTCTGCATCTCATTGGTTGTCAGGTTGTTGATTTAAACTCTTAGCTGGTTGGTTCGCTGGTCTGTCGGTTCAGTACCAAAAGCGTACATGGACCGGACCAGTCAGAGATGTGCTGACAGCTGATCACTGGTCCTCCACAGTCCGGACAGAGCACACCTTGTCCACACAGACCGTCCACACCTGGACAGGCTGCGGGACGGAGCCGCCTCCAGCTGCCGGGAGCTAACTGTTAGCCGTTAGCATCCGGACCGTGGAGCTCCAGTGAGAGGAGAAGTGACGGATTCAAAACACACTCACCACGCCTGTCCATGGTCCCGGCACTAGGACAGCCTCCACATGGCTCCTCTCACAACATCCTAAAGTCAACGACAAGCTGTCTTCTGACCCCGAAGAGAGAAAAGAGCTGCTTTCAAAACATGCAGCTGCAGCTCCGCCTTCCTACGGCGAGCCGCGCGGTCCAAACCTGCCGGGAGCCGGGTCAAAACATACAGCCGCGTTTATCACATGAATGTGTATCAGGGCTGTAAAAATTAAAAGTGTGTGCTTCTTCCCACTCCTTTTGTGAACTTGTTCATATTATGATTTGATTATGTGATATTATTATTATTATTTGCTGTTTTTAAATTATTTTCTTTTGTTTTTATATTTTTTCCCCTTTCATTTGTTCAAAATAAATTCATTCATTCATTCAAAAGAAAATTAACATGTTACTGTAAAGAGATTCATCTGTGGCATTAACACATTAATCTTTAATGCATTAATACATGAACAACAAAGTTATTACTCATGATATATTAATAATTCAAATTGGGGGAATACAAACTTATGTTATCTTGGGGGTCGTGGCTCAAAAAATTTGAGAACCGCTGATGTAGAACAGGCCTACCCTGGCCTAGTCCTGTGTGTTTTATGATCAGCCTGACTCTCAATAGCATTTTCTTTTTTATTATTATTCTGTTTTTACCCAAGACAACCATAAATAATTTGTCTTCACACAGTTGAGACCAGACGTTTACGATCACTGTATAAAAAGACATAAAACCTTTTTTCTTCTCACTGTCTGACATTAAATGAGACTAAACTTCGCATGTTTCAGGTCAGTCAGGATCACCAACATTATTTCTATTTGTTAAACGCCAGAATAATGAGAGAATTTTTTACTACTTTCTTCAAAGTCAGAAGTTTACATCCACTAAGACGCCTCCAAACTATTTGGGAAAGCCCAGATGATGATGTCATGGCTTTGGAAGCTTCTGATTGGTTAATTGACAACATGTGAGTTAATTGGAGGCACACTTCAAACAGGCTGCTTCCTTTTGTGACAACATGAGAAAAACTAAAGAAATCAGCCAAGATATCAGGAAGAGAACTGTGGACCTCCACCAGTCTGGTTCATCCTTGGGTACAATGTCCAGATGTCTGAAGGTTCCACGTTCATCTGTTCAAACAGTTCTATCAAGTATAACCACCATGGGAATGTCCAGCCATCATAGGCTCAGGAAGGAGACGGTTCTGTGTCCCAGAGATGAAGTGTTCTGGTTGAAATGTGTGAATCAACCCCAGAACAGAAGCTAAAGACCTTGTGAAGATGCAATCAGTAAAAGAGTAGTTTTACATTCCAAAAAATCCTCCACAATGAGCTCGACACATCTTTAATGAACACATATTTAAATATATACAGTCTGAGCATAACTTAATGCGAGCCTCTATAGCAAGGCTGTGGTCCAACATGTCGCAACACTTGGTTTACTTTAATGAACATTTTTTTCCAACAGTTTTCGTTTTTCTCCCAATTTCCCATTCAATCACCCGCAGACACTCAATAAAATCTGAACAAGTGCTGATGTAAGTAAAAGTTCGTGGTTGGCTCATTTCTTCACTCAGTTTGAAGGAATATTAGCGGATTTAGAGCCCGTTAGATGTTCACGAAGCCGCTGCTTTCTTCTCTTTGTAAGTCGCCATCATTTTCTTGATCTCTGCGATGGCCTTTCCTGGGTTAAGTCCCTGCAGAGACAAGCAGACAATAAGACACTACAGCTCTTTTGTTTCTGTAAAAAACAAAAAAAAGGTGCGTTAATGACTTTCAAGTACCTTGGGGCAAGTCTTTGTGCAGTTCATAATAGTGTGACAGCGGTACAGGGAAAAGGGGTCCTGAAGTTTAGACAGACGCTCCTCAGTGAACTCATCACGAGAGTCGATCATCCACCGGTATGCCTGGGAGATAACAACACAGCGTTTAGTACTCCTGAAAGCTGGAAAGAAGCTCATTGGCTTTGGAGAATTTATTCATTTATTTCATTGGAGACATGCATCATGCACTGACATAACATTCAATGGCTCAACGTACAGCTGACTGCTGTCAACATCCGATAGTTGACGTTGAGCACAAGTAGAGCAGAGACTGACTTAACTCGAACTAACTAAAGCTATTGTAGAATTTTCTGGTATGCATCTTAAAACCAAATGTAATGAAGATATTTCTCAAAGTGGGCTGCACAGTGGTTAGCACTGTTGCCTCGCAGCTAGAAGGTCAGCGGTTCACGTCCCGGTGAGGACACCCGGGATCTTCCTGCGTGGAGTCTCCATGTTCTCCCCGTGCAGCGTGGGTTCTCTCCGGGTTCTCCACCTTCCTCCCACAGGTTAACTGGTGTGAATGTGAGTGTGCTTGGTTGTCTGTCTCTAAGTGTAGCCCTGTGATAGACTGGTTACCTGTCCAGGTGAACCTGCCTTCACCCTGAGTCAGCTGGGATAGACTCCAGCCCCCCATGACCCTGGTGAGGATTAAGGTGTAGAGATGATGGATGGATATTTCTCAAAGCGTCTTGACTCACCTGCATCAGGACAGCAGGTCCGAGGTATTTGTCTCCGTTCCACCAGTAGCTGGGACAGCTGGTGCTGCAGCACGCACAGAGGATGCACTCGTACAGGCCGTCCTGTCGAGTTAGAACGAGTTAGATATGGTTCATTCTAATTTATTGTATTGAAAAATACTAGTCAAGTAAAAGTACACAGCAGCACAATGTATGAAAAATCTAAGTTCTGATACACAAATGTGTTTTCATCTTTCCTGAGATATTGGAACATTGGAAGTTTTATTGAAGTGAAACAAAGGGAGAAGTGAAGACAAAAATAATCAGTCTGGTGGAGCTGTTAACAAACTCATCTGAAGTCGGAGCCCAACCACACGGCTCAACAATACAAAGCCTTGCTATCCGACAGGTTTTTAGGAAAAACGAAGAGAACCCATGAAAAAAATCCTGAACATACCGACAGCCTTGCTATCCGACATAAGAGAAGGTTTGACATTTAGCGTCGGATTATCGAGTCACGACTGTCCTTCTATCTGGATTACGGTGGAGTGATCAGTTCCTAGTTCCATACCACACAGCAACATGTCAACATAGCCACTTATGAAGAGCTCCACACGGCTCCTGGACAACCATCTCTACAGTTTGCAGTCGGCTTATTTACCAGTTTTTGCCGGTCCTCCACTGACTGGAAGTACTGCTCCTTCCCTTCCTGAGCTTCATCCTTCTTTTTCAAGTAGGGCTCGATGGATTTGTACTGCGCGTAGAAGTTGCTCATATCCTGGTAAAAAATAACAACAGGAACAAAAACATCAGATGAATGAACCACCTGTGGCTCTGGTGTTCCCTCACATGGTCACACTGGTTCTGTGGTCTTGTTTATTGTTTATATGAACGTTCACAACAGCTCTCCATGCTTGTGATACTTACAGGCACCAGATCTTTGACCACGTACATGTGTGGCAGTGGGTAGATTTTGGTGGGTTTGCTTGTGTTGGTGTCGATTTTGTTCAGGCACGCCAACGTGTTGCCTCCGTTTATGTTCATGGCACATGAGCCGCAGATACCTGAAGAAAGTCACAAACACCGGGTCAGTACAGTCCTGCAAACGGACTCAAATGATCTGCTTTCACATGGCATCTGCTTTCAGAGCGGATTTTTTTTGCATTATTATGTGGCAGTTGAATCCAGATGGTCTTTCTTTCTTACCCTCACGGCAGGAACGTCTGAACGTGAGCGTAGGGTCCATTTCATTCTTGATCTTAATGAGGGCATCCAGAACCATCGGACCACAGCTGTATTAACGAGAGTAAACATGTGTTCTGTTCATTTAACGTGACAGGAACATATTGTGACTTCAGCAAACATCAGACTTTTAAAAAACAATAAAAGATCGTAAAGTATAACAATCAAACTAACGAACAAATGCATTTTGATGCGGATCATTCAGAAAACATTCAGCTGTAACAACACGACTGTTTTTTTTTCAGTTTCTTTTTTCTCAATATGTCATTTTTCCAATCATCTTAAATTATTTTCTTCTGGGCTTTTCCTATTAATCAACAGAGCAGTGGAGAAGAATGGAGCGAGACCTGCAGCAAAGGGCTGTAGGTGGGAGTCGAACCCACAATCATCCAATCATCTTAATGAATTACTTTGCAGATGTCTGTTCACTGATCCAGTTGTGACTTACTTGTTGAGATCAATGTCATACGTCTGCATTCGTGGTTTGTCTCCGGAGGTGTCCGGGTCCCAGCGGTAGATCTGGAACTTCTTGATCCTGGGTTCAGGAGCTGGAGCAGCTGCAGTCTGAGCATGGCGCACCATCTGTATCTGAAAGATGCAACACACATCAATCAAATGAATTTAAATTCCTTCAGTTTTTTATTTATTTTTTATTGTATCCCTTCCACTGAAGCACCTTATTCCACAAACGAGTGAGTTAAACACAAACTCGTGATGTGACCTTGGTTTTATCCAGCAGTGCTAAAACAGGACACACTCTGTAATTCTATCCTGTAACACAAGAGCACGGCGCTGAAGCATCAACAACATGCTGAGACTCTGTCTGAAATGCACAAATCTGAAAGAATGAACAGTCAGCAGTTTACTTTAGAGTCAGATGGAAATATAACACAATAAAATAAAGGCGCTATGAGATCAAATCAAACAAACTAATGAAGGGAACGCCGAACAAACAATATCAGAAACACAATATTAATATTATAAAATGTAAAAAAAAAACACTGTCAGATTCTCTGAGACACATTGACATGTTTCAGATTTAAATGATTTTATCCTCTTTAGCCCTGTTACATACACATATTTGTGTTATATTTTTATTTTCATATTAATATTTTATTCCATAATTTTACTTCCTGCTTCTTTAAGACTTTTGATTGGGAGCATCTGCAGCTGAAAGCCATTTCCCCTACAGAGGATCAATAAAGTATTTCTGATTCCGTCCCTGCTGTTTTGGTATCAGACGGTCTGCAGCGCCCCCTGCTGGACGCTCGGCTGAACTGCCATTGAGCTGTTACATCACTTTGCAGCTTGTGGTTACCTAACTGACTCTTTGGTGGACAAGATGAACTTCAGCGAGTTAACTGAGGCATAAACACACATTTGTTCACCACACCTGCAAAAAAGCACCTGATTGATGAACCTGTAGGTGGAGAGAGGAGCTGCCAGCATCTCAGTTTAAACTACATTTCTGTCATAACAAAGAGCATCCAGTCACATTCAACAGGGCAGCAAACACAGTTCAGTAGATCTGTGAGGTATCTTCACATCCACACAGAGCCACAGAGCACAGTGTGGTCCTTCAGCAGGACTGGTGATAAAGCTGGTCAGTGAGTGGTGACCCCACCTGGACAGGTAACTGGTCACGTTTCTCTAAGAAGGAGTGAATAAAGCGTCCTGCTACTCACCACCATGACACCAGAACTCTTGATGGACGAAACATTTCGGCTGAGACAAACTGCGGACATCTTTCTGTTCGGATCAGCTGCTGACGGTGACAGTGACTGGACCGGACCACACCGGAGACTCTACTAACCTCAGCCTCAGCCACGCCCCGTGAGGACAGGTGCCTTCACGGACTCCCTCCCTGCTCGTTCAGCACAGCACCAACTGGAAAAGACGTTTTTCTGCTCCAGCTGCAGAGGAGTGACAACGAAATGAGCACCAGACATGGATATAACATTAACACATATACAACTAACAGGNCAGTAAAAGAGTAGTTTTACATTCCAAAAAATCCTCCACAATGAGCTCGACACATCTTTAATGAACACATATTTAAATATATACAGTCTGAGCATAACTTAATGTGAGCCTTTATAGCAAGGCTGTGGTCCAACATGTCGCAACACTTGGTTTACTTTAATGAACATTTTTTTTCCAACAGTTTTCGTTTTTCTCCCAATTTCTAGTATCTGTTCCCTCATTCAGTCGCCCGCAGACACTCAATAAAATCTGAACAAGTGCTGATGTAAGTAAAAGTTCGTGGTTGGCTCATTTCTTCACTCAGTTTGAAGGAATATTAGCGGATTTAGAGCCCGTTAGATGTTCACGAAGCTGCTGCTTTCTTCTCTTTGTAAGTCGCCATCATTTTCTTGATCTCTGCGATGGCCTTTCCTGGGTTAAGTCCCTGCAGAGACAAGCAGACAATAAGACACTACAGCTCTTTTATTTCTGTAAAAAAAAAAAAAAAGGTGCGTTAATGACTTTCAAGTACCTTGGGGCAAGTCTTTGTGCAGTTCATAATAGTGTGACAGCGGTACAGGGAAAAGGGGTCCTGAAGTTTAGACAGACGCTCCTCAGTGAACTCATCACGAGAGTCGATCATCCACCGGTACGCCTGCGAGGTAACAACACAGCGTTTAGTACTCCTGAAAGCTGGAAAGAAGCTCATTGGCTTTGGAGAATTTATTCATTTATTTCATTTGAGACATGCATCATGCACTGACATAACACTCAATGCCTCAACGTACAGCTGACTGCTGTCAACATCCGATAGTTGACGTTGAGCACAAGTAGAGCAGAGACTGACTGAACTGAAACTAACTAAAGCTATTGTAGAATTTTCTGGTCTGCATCTTAAAACCAAATGTAATGAAGATATTTCTCAAAGTGGGCTGCACA